AAAAAAAAAAAAAAAAAAAAAAAAAAAAAAAAAAAAAAAAAAAAGAAAATAAAAATTAGTTGCAAAGCAGCCTCAGGAAGACCCTTCAGTAGGTATTCCTGAAGGCAGGATTGTTGTCATAGGAGATGACAGTTCCAAGTGTGTTATTGCCCCTGAAGACCTTCTAGTGGGACAGTATGTGGAGGTGGAAGACCCGTGATATTGATGATCCTAATCCTGTGTTGGCTTAGGCTTTTATATGTGTTTGTGTCTTAAAACAGTTTTGAAAGTAAAAAAAAAATTTTTTTAATACAGGAAAAAGGCTTATAAAATAAAGATATAAGGAAAGAAATTTTTTTTATACAGCTGTCCCAGGTGTTTTAAGCTGTTATTACAAAACAGCCAAAAAATTAAAAAGTTCATCAAGTAAAAATGTTATAGTAAGCTGATGTTATTATGAAAGAAGGAAAAAATTTTAAAATAAACTTAGTACAGCCTAAGTGCACACTGTTTATAAAGTGTATGGTGGTATACAGTAATACCCTAGGCCTTCATATGCCTTCACCACTAACTGACTCACCCATAGCACCTTGCAGTCCTGCTGGGTTCAATCATGGTACGGACATACCATGTTAAATTATATATATCTTATTTTTACTCTACCTTTTGTATATTTAGATATGTTAATATCATTGTGCTACAGTTGTATGGTAGTATTCAGTACAGTAACGTGCTGTACAGGTTTGTAGCCTGGGAGCAATAGGTTATACCATGTAGACTTGTGTAAAAACACTGTGTAATACTCATGCAAAGAAATTGCCTGACACATTTCTTTGAATGTATCTTTGTCAGGAGGCGACCTGTGACTGTATAATTTGAGCCACATATGTCATTTTATAAATTGAAGTACCCTTATTAAAGTAAAAAGCAGTTAAATTAATTTTAATATATTGAATCTGATGGAGACAACAACATATAACCTATAAAAAATTATTTTAGATTCTCTCTTTGTACCAAATTTTTGAAATCTGGTATATGTCTTATATCTCTGTGTGAACACTAATTTTTTGCCAAAAGTAATTGATCTTCCTTTAGGTTTCATAAAATTTATGGTTGGAAAAGTAGATTCACATACTTTATTGTTTCAAACACATAAGTATTTCGGTACCTGAATTAAGTACCAAAAAATCATTTTCCTGTAATATTTGCATCTAAATTGGTAAAACTAGTTCATATTTTTTAGTAGAATATATTAAACTTTGAAGCAAAACTATATCCATTTCAAAATTGAGCTACTCAGGTTAGGCAAATTCACTAAGTCTTGTGTCTTAGTAAAACTTCGTATTACTAATTAGTAAAACTCCGTATTACTAATATCACGTTAGAAAGGATATTGGATGTTAGGCAAATCTATATTTATCAATATAAATAAAGTGTTTTTCAATGATTTCTTGTAATTTTTGCAGCCACTTTGCAAAAACACTGTTAATTATAATTAAAATTTATGTATGTTGATTTATGTTAGAGCAAAGTATAAAATCTTTTTTATTGATTTTTGTTATGAAAACTTTAAATTTCAATGTAAATTTCCGTACTTGTGTAGCCTGGTCATAAGTAAACTCTACCTTTCTTTGGTGCTTCAAGTTAAGCTTGTTCATTGGCATTGAGATATAAGTGAGAAAACAAAAGAATACTGCCATTTTTGTCTTTTATTACCTAATAGTGAAAAACATCTCATTCTTAAATCAGGGTTAACATTAGAGTAGATCTTTGTGAAGTTATTCCACTATACCCAGTGAGCAAAGAACACAGTTGTTTGGAATGTATTGCCTTCTATTTTTTCAACATTTCTATGAGCTGGCTAGGATTCGTCTCTTCGGTATGTACATACTGAACAATTTAAATAACTCTTTACATGGGGCTTTTCATAGTCTGCTTCAGAAAGCTGAACACAGATATTTTCAATATGTATCATACAGTGGAATAAAGCAGTAGGAGAAACATCAATTTTTGCTTTTAAAATTCGTAACACAGCTGGAGCTATCTGTTGTGATAGAACCTAATTGTTTAATACCTAGCTGAAATTCTTTGACAGAGGGAAAGGATTAAAAAAAATCTATGCCACTCTTGACTTTTTTTTTTTTTAAAGCTATATCTTGACAACTTTTCTTATATTTAGAAATTCTCTCAAATAAAATTTGCCTAAAAGATTTAATTGGGACCTGGCGTGGTGGCTCACGCCTGTAATTCCAGCACTTTGAGAGGCTGAGGGGGGCGGATCTCTTGAGGTCAGGACTTTGAGACCAGCCCAGCCAACATGGCAAAACCCCGTCTTTACTAAAACTGTGAAAAATTAACCAGGTATGGTGGTGCACCTCTGTAATCCCAGCTACTTGGAGGCTGAGGCAGGAGAGTCGCTTGAACCCGGGAGGTAGAGGTTGCAGTGAACTGAGATCGCGCCACTTCACTCCAGCCAGGGTGACAGAATGAGACTATCTCAAGAAAAAAAAAAAAAAATGATTTAATAAGGTAGTGTCTCTTATATCACATGCCTCATCTAAAGCTAAAGGGAAATAATAATTTTTCAAGTTTTCAATCTGTTGATTGTTGATGTTATTAGAAAGGTCTTCCATATGATGGATGGTGTCTTAATTGAAGATTTTCTTCCACATGTTGTAAAGCATCTATTTTGTTATTCCTCATAATTTCTTAACAAAATTTCTATAATTGAAATAATTTTTTTACAGTCTTTTCATGTAAATGTGATTTTCTTTCTTTTGGTACAAGAATCCAAGCCAGTTTATGGCTGACCAGAATCACAAGCCCAGATTTGTTAAAAATCTTTTAAACACGTTTACTGGACATTGAATTCTGACATCATTTGGCTTTGTTGCTTTTCTTCTGACTGTAGAGCAGAAAGTTCTTCTAAAATTCACTTTGTATTTGTTGAAAATGTCTTCTAATATTGTCTACTTTACTTTTAAAACTTTAAAACACAAGAAATGGCTTTTAATTTTGCCTTCTCATAGCCAATTGTAATTGTCATTCATTTAGAATTTTCTGGCATACCTTCTTCCAGTTTCTTTTTATTTTACTCTTCTGGTGGTGGCATTTGCTTCGATTTCTCTATTTGATTGTGTATTTGTGTAATGCTTTCTTTTTACTTTTAAAAATTGTCCTCCTCTTGTCCATTCATTTTTAAAGTAAGAAAATTAATTATATTCAAAATATATTACAATTGAAAAATAAAGTAAAAATAAAAAGTATTTCAGTTGAGTTACCACTTATGATTTACATAGGCATCACTGCACCTTGTGTTATTTGTGAAAAACATATTTAAGTAAAGGCGTGACAGTGTTACATTGGTGAGTAGAGAAAAAAATTATTCTAACTGAATTAGTTAATTGTTACCGACTACATCGGTATTTTTATGCGTAATACTAGAAATGACTCACTCTATTCTGACATGTGCAGTATAATATGCAGTGCAATGGTCACAATGAAATGCAGTGCTACCAAAACAATAAAACTTTCTTAAGTAGAAAGACATTTTACAGAGCTTCAGCTTCAGCTTTTTTTTTTTTTTTTTTTTAGATGGAGTCTCACGCTGTTGATGGCGCCCTGGAAAGAGCTTCTTAGAACTTCTTGTGTTTTCTTTTTGACTTCTCTTATAGTCATGAAGAATTAGTAGAAAAAATTTCAAACTTTTTCATTGATAAAAGGATTTAATCAGAAAAGCATTTGGACATACATATTTGAAATCATAGCTTGCCTCTCTGTTATTAGAGTACTGGAGAGTGGAAACAATTTCTATATTCTGAAGATTGTTTCATCATTTGGGTGAAAACCGAAAAAAAAAAAAGAGTCATTTTGCATAATAGTTCTTTAACAAATGAAAAAAAAAAAAAAGAATGTTCATCTGTAGAGACCTATCAAGGTCTCATCAGGTTTACAACAAACTTTTAGATTAGGAAGCTCAATTTCAGTTGACATAGATCCTGGAAAAATTTTCAGTGGAGCTCAGATATTTAATATCCTGATTTTGGATGAATATACAATTTTTAAATTAAGTATTTCAACTCCTTTGTGGTTTTAAAACTAGTGGTGGTCATATCAACTAGTTATTAAAGCACCAGCCTTTCTTCTTTATTACTTTGCTGTTATCCTTTGAGCAAGTAGGCAGTAAGTTCTTTATGTTTTTGATTTCCACAGAAATAAATGAATGCTATTGCTGTTGTTTATTTCATTCTGTTATGATATGAAAATATAAGGAGATGTCTAAAAACTTGTTTTAAAAATATAAAGAGTAAGTTCATAAAGAAGGAAGTGAGTGTAACTTGCCTTTAGAGAATTTGCCCATTCAAATGGTTTCCAAAGTGTATTCTGCGAGTCACTAGAGATGGTCCTTGAAAGAGTTCTGTAATTAAGTTTGAAGAAACACTATGTACCACAATAATGGCCTGTTGAATATTTCACCATGCACATTAATATATCAAAGGCTTTGCGATATCTTACAAGAAAGAAACTTGCTAAAGCTTTTCTTTTTGCATTTCTTAAACTTCTTCCAGTGACATGAAGTCTGACTTGTCTATCTTGTGAGAAATGCTGCCCTCTAGAGGCATAAATTCAGTTGCTCTTAAATTTGAGTACCACAGTGCTGCCTGATCTTAGTGTGAAGTTGTAATAATTAACAGTAACCTAATTCATGGTAACAAAATAACCAAATAGAAAACATCTTATGTTGCTTAATTTTAAGGAAATGTGAGGATACAGAATTGCAGTTTATAAATACCCACATTTTAAATTGGACATGTGATTATTGTTGGCTGCTAATAATCTTTTGAATATGTTTCTGTATACAGGGAATTGTGGACACATAGTACTGCAAGTCTCCAAACTCCTGCTAGCAGAAGCCATCCTTCCCTGTCTTAACAACCTTGATTAAGACAGCATTCACCGGGAAGCCAGTTTACTCATTCCCCTTCCCGCTATAGTCACTGTTTCCTTACGTGTAACTGGAGTCAGATTATATCATGCTGCTCCTTTGCAGTCACACTGGGAAGAAAAGGGTTATATGTAATTTTTTTTTTAATAATTTTTTTTTTTTTTTTTGCTAACATAGCAAAACCTTCAGGAATATATGTAGGAAATGGGTGATGATGATGATGATGTAGAAACATGCTTTTGCATTTGGCTGAATGTATGATATGGTGCAGTTATCAGAGATTCTGAATTGATTGTTCTCATTCAAGTAGCCAGGAGTGGTTCTAGTTGTTTACTCCTTTGGTCTCAGCATTGACCTATACTAAATGAAGTTGAATGTCTGAAAACTCATAGCATAATATAGAAGAAGAAGTCAAAAGATTAAAGGAAGTAGGACTGATGGAGTGGATTTATCACTGTGACCGTTCACTTATCTCCCCTATTCACTCTCCAATATTCTCTTCTAAGAGATCTGGAAGACACTTCATCCACCAGCCTAATGAGAAATACTTTGAGGGTAGTGCCAGCCTATGTGAAAAGTAATTGAATTGCTTTTATCTGTAGGTGGGAGGAAATACTTTCATTGAAATTGTCTTTTTTACTTCAGGGGGTATGACTAGATTCTAAGTAAGGCCCAGGCATCATTTTCATAAGGTAACTTGACAGGCATGATGATCTGACTTGAATTCTTTTTGGCTGTGGCTAAAGGATCATGGATTCCTAGGTCCAAAATGGAGAGGCATCCTATTAAGATCTTCCTTTATCTGTATGAACAAAAAATGTTAGGTCTCATAAGAGAAGGCCTGACTTGAACTACCAAAGGAGTGAGTTGGCCAGCCTGGGCAACATGGTGAAACCCTGTCTCTACAAAAAAACACAAAAGTTAGCTGGGCACAGTGGCATGAGCCTGTGGTCCCAGCTACTTGGGAGGATGCCCCGTTTTTGCAGTTTACTTCTTTGGTTTTACAAGAAAACAGAAAGGAGGGGGACATCACCCAGAGATTCTGATACTGGCCATGTGCAATAACTGTTAAGTCTCTGGTTCTTATCTCCATATGAGGAACAGAGAGAGTTTTGTTTGTATAAGGCTTAGTTATAATCTGTCAGGTTTGAGGATCTTGATTGGGGGCACAGACTTGATCTGTATTTATGGTTGCTCATTTCAAATAGCCTTTCAATGTTGGCTAAGTCTGCATGTTCATTTTTTATAGAGTCAGAACTCAATTTCCTAGCATTCCTTGCAACTAGGGCACAAGCATATGACCTAGGCCTTATTAATCAGATGCATCTGTGTAAGACATGAATTCAGGGTCAGAGAAATGCAGGGCAACAGCTCTTGCCTGGAATTGCTTCCTAATGTGGATGTTGGGTGGTGAGACATTGAGCTGTTTAGAGGTAGCGGTGACAGACATGTTAGTGAGCCTTATTGTCCTAGGCTCGCTTTCGTGGTACTAGAGTTGAAGGGTGGGAACAATTTGGTGGGGAGACTTTGGTATTTTTCCTGGCTTTATACCTCCAAGTGTATTCTTCAATGCTCTGATAATTCTTGGAAGTCATCTAATATATTAATAAATTTATTTTCTCTTGAAACCACCTCAAATAGGTTCTGTTGTTTGCAGCTAAGAGCCCTGATTGACCGTCTAACTTTAAAGATTTTATTTATTATCAAAGTATTTTATTTTTCTAATTGAGATCTAAAAGTTGTCAAGCACTTATACTCCATTTTTTCCCCTTCTTAGAGCTCTGCAATCCTTTGCTATCATTTTTTTTCTTACCAGGAATGCCAATTTTTATACCTTTTGAATTGCTTCTTGTTCTTTGCTACTTGGCTCGAGTTCCAGTATTGTGAAACCTTTCCAGCAGCCTGATGAATTTTCTTCCTCTTAATTCCAGTAGCACTCGTTTAGACATTAAGTGCAAGTTTTTGTTGTTGCTTTGTTTTGCTTTTCTATGTGCATTTTAGCTTCCACACTAAATGATAAGCTCCCTGAAAACTAGTACTATGCCTCTTTGTATCCCTTGCATTATCCAGCAGAATGTCTTGCACCTATTAGATTCAAGGTTCAGCACAGCCATCCTCATAATATATGGTGATGAGAGTTGCTGAGAATCACAGGGATGCCAGGCTCAGTGAACTGAGATAATAAACTAGTTGCATGCATAGTCTGGCCATGAAGCCCAAATTTCCATCTTCCTCAAGGAGTCTGAGACTTGCCTCTCAGTAGTTTTCATTAGTAGGTGACCATATCTTCTGAATTACTATCTTAATGTTTTATGAGTTTTTTTTTTTTTTTTTTTGCCTTGACAAAAGCCTTCTATTTCTCTCCTACTTCCTAGTTCCTTCCATTGTGCCCTCTGCAATTTCTTTTCACTAAGCTTACTATTTGCAGTCTCTTAAAATTTTGTGTAAATTATGAAATACTTCAAATATACAAGAAAAGTACAGAAAGTAATGTAACAGACACCTGCGTACCCAACCTTAGGGTCAAGTGGATATTAACCTTTTGCCTTATTTTTCTTTTAAAGTTCTCGCCTCCCCATACTTTTCTCCCTTCTTTGGAGGTACTCATTATCCTAAAGTCTTTGTGATTATTCCACTGTTGTTTTTGTACACATAAAACAGTTACATAAAAGATGACCTGAGGCCGGGCGTGGTGGCTCACACCTGTAATCCCAGCACTTTGGGAGGCTGAGGCGGGTGGATCACGAGGTCGAGATCGAGACCATCCTGGTCAACAAGGTGAAACCTCGTCTCCACTAAAAATACAAAAATTAGCTGAGCATGGTTGCACTCGCCTGTAGTCCCAGCTGCTCGGGAGGCTGAGGCAGGAGAATTGATTGAACCCAGGAGGCGGAGGTTGTAGTGAGCCAAGATCGCGCCATTACACTCCAGTCTGAGTTACAAGAGTGAAACTCCATCTCAAAAAAAAAAAAAGAAAAAAGATGACTTGAAAAATTTTCATGCAATGTTGTTTTCTAGATATGTTCATATTGACGTGTGTAGGTTTAGTTCATTCCTTTTAACTGCTGTTTAGTTTTCCAGGTTGAATAATGCTCAGTTTTTATAGAGATAATTAGGTTCTACTTTTGGCAAATAATAATTGTAATGCTCGTACATAAGCACTTAGTGTAATTTTATCTAGAATAGACACCTGAAAGTAGAATTGCTGGATCACAGGGTTTAGGTGCCACTTTATCAAGTATTGCCAAGTCCAGTCCAAAATGGAGCTATCATTTTATACCGATTAATATGTTTCCCCACTTTTTCAGCAACATTTAATTTTATCTAGCCTTTTTTTTTTTTTTTGCCTATTTGAAAGATGAGAAATGGAGTTTCGTTTTCATTACTTTGATTTATAGTAAAGTTGAATGTCTTTGCATGATTTTTAATCACTCTAGTTCCTATTTTGTGAATCTTTTATGTTCTTTGCTATTTTTTTTTTCCTATTGGGTATTGGATTTTAAATTGATTTATGGTGATTATTTTTATAATCTGGATATTAATCTTTTGGTAATATGCATTGCAAATACTTTATAGTCTGGTTTTTTTTTTTTTTTTTTTTTT